CTCCCTCATCTTGGAGCTTGCTTCTTTTAGCAATGACATTGAGACGAGCTTCCAATTCTTCCATTTTGGTAGACTGGAGATTCTGCTTGTTCTGAGTCTCTTCTTCGGGGGATGATTCAACGTGATGAGTTTCTTTCTCAGCAGTCTCATTCATTCTTTGTTTCCCCTTCGATGTGGATGATCCTCCTTTCCAAGATAATTCCGGCCAAGGTTGTGACTCGGCTTTTTGAAAATTGGCTCTATTTGCAACGATTTGAGCCATCATATCCCGAATTTGATTGATGGTTTCCTGCTGTGCTCGGAGCATGGCGTCCTGCTCAGCAACCCTCTTTGCAAGATCTTCAGAATTTTCTGCCATATGAGCAAAAGCTCTCATGTTCAACGAAAGAGCTTGATGATTGGGACTCCGCAATGGCTGAATGTTCGTCATCGGAATTGGTTCCTTTGGCCAACCTCTGATAGTTGATAGAGGGAATGGCTCATGTTCGCGTCCGAGTGCGTTGGTAGACTCCTTCAAACTTATTAGCGATTTTTTTGACGGTCGGTGAACGACTTGTCTCAGAGTCATCGGGACTAGGACCTGAGGCTTTCCCTCTGCCGATCATGTTAGAAGTGACTCTAAGGTATTCATCCTCCGAAGTCTTCTTCTTGTGAGAACGTCGTCGGTTATGGAGCAAAGCGACATTCGTTGGTCGGTTGAACATCGACAAATTGACTGCGCATAAGCAACACTGACATCCCGAGAGGACCGTAGGAATCAGTCATTCACATTGGAATGAATGAATGAATTGTTGCATCAATCTTTCTCTCAATATGGACTCTCTTAAATCTGTTGTAAAAACTCGAGAAGAGTTACTCGTTGATCGCGAGGTTTGAATTGGAACCTCCAGTCTATGATTGGACGAGACTGGCTCCTGATGAACGTGGATCTTCTTGAAATACCTTGAATCCATGGACTTCTTATAACCGCCCCTTAATCTAGTCACGCTACGTAGAGTATTCGGGGGTCTCGCTGACCGATAAGCGAGCCGGTACCCCTGGCTGGGGGGTCCAGGGGGGTAGACTACCCCCCGGTGGGGTTCGAGACAGCACCCCAAAGCTCCACGGAATACACCAGGTTCTGTATTAGATTTCGTTACCCGAACGCATGCCTGAGCTCCAAGTGTTGCTAGTGAAACGCATTCCTGAGGTCTGCATTTTGCTGATGAAACGTAGTCTTGAAATCTACGTTTTGATTCTAAAACGCACTCCTGAGAGTTGCATTTAGGTTCTGGAACGCACTCTTGAGAGTTGCGTTCAGTTTCTAGAACACGCTCCTGAAGGCTACGTTTTGATTGCACAACGCGCCACTGAGGGTTGTGTTTAGCATAAGCTGAGCCCACTCCTTCGGAGGAAGGGCTGTTCGAGCAATCTCGGCTAAAGGAGAGGGCTTCCTTCGGCATAGGAGCAACAATTAGAGCTTTAGTCTCCTTGAAGACTTTGCGGATCTTGCGCAAAGCCTTGAGGCTAAGGGATCCGAAGGAGAGTAACTCCTCATACTTGGCTTGATCGAACTCGATAATCAGAGTTTCAACGGTCATTCCAGCGAGGTTAATATCAGATTGCGCCACCATTTCTTCATCAGTGAAGCTCATCCCCAGCAGAGTCACCATCGTTTGTTTGGTAAAAAATTTATAGTAAAAAGAAAAATTAAAAGAATCATACTATTTGATTTTTATTCTCTTAATCTCGATTACAATTTAAATTCCCGATTACAAAAAAGAAGAGAATTGATCTGAATTCTCCCCTTTGTTTAATTCTGGGTTCTTCACGGTGGCGATGGAGTGCCTCTCTCGAATGCTCGCATCGAGTTTGCTCTACGTTGATGATCCGAACGTCTTGATTCACTGGAACGATATCTTTTCCTCACGATTTGACGTTGTGGAGAACTTACAAAGCAAGTTTGAAACTCTGAACGAGTTGATAACTCAGAGCGAGTTTAAACTCTTGAAAAAGAGTTGATTTGAACCGAAAAATCGGTTAATAAGCCAAGGGAATGCTCCAAAAACTTTATTGCTGCCGGAAGCTCGAAGATGATCTGTTGCCGAGGAGGTGATCCGAAGAAGCCGATCTCTAGATCTCCAAGATACTCCAAGATCCTAAGATCCCGAACTCAATTGAGTTTCCCATTATTTATAGGGGATTAAGGGGTATAACCACCCCCTTAATTCACTTCTAAGTGGGGCTGAACGGGGTGTAACCGCCCCCTTAAACAGCTCCCCAAATCGTGGGAAAAACGGTTTTGAAACCGTTTAGTTCGTGCTTTGAACGAGTCAAATGCTAAAAAATAACGTTCAGGGCCCGAACTGTGAGTTTTAGACTTTAAGCGCAGAGTTGGGCCTATTTTGGTGGCTGAACGCACAGGTCGCACTGCGTTGTAAATCTAAAACGCAGAGTTAGGACACAGAGATGAACTCCGCGTTTTGAGTCCGCGAACTCTGCTTTTTTAACTGGAGCGCTAGGGATGAACTCTGTATTTTGACTCTGAAACGTGGGCATGACCTTTTCGTTTTGATGTTGTAACACAGGGATGACCTCTGCGTTTTGATGTTGTAACACAGGAATAACCTCTGCGTTTTGATGGTGAAACGCAGCGATGACCTCTGCGTTTTGATGTGAAGAGACTATCAATTTGTGGTCTCTTTTGCTGGAGCGTTGGAAAGACCGTCATCTTGTAATCTTCATCTTGGCTCCTTGAAAATATGAGAGTTGTCAGATTATAACTCCCGATGTTGATTGTGAAGACGGTTAAACTAGACCTTTCATCGGTTGTTGTAAAGGTCGTTAGATTGTAACCTTCATTGATCTATGTGAAAATCTTTAAATTATAGCCTTCTGGAAGTCGTCAGATTGTAACTTCCACCATCGGTGTTTGATGGAGGATCAGCTATCTGTAGTGATTTTTAGACAACCTACAATGTTCACTACTCTGGGGGTGTCACCAATGTAGATGAAGCCGAGTGCTATTGCGATGCTGGTGGCGTACGTGGTGATCTGCATTTGGCTGGGGATCGAACCGTCCCTGAGTGTGTTCGGTCACCTGATTGATGTCAAAGTGCACCCGAAAGAAGCTAATTTTCCACTTCCAGACAGTGAGCAAGTTCAGGATTGTCCTTGACCTTCCCGACTCGAATAAAGATTGAAAGAAGAGATTCGTCTGGGTCTTAGGAGATAACTCAGACTTAGACTGCTCCACTTGTCCCGAGATAATAAGAGAGGCCCTGATGGCGTGGAAACTGTTGAATATGGAGAAGCAGGCTCTGGATCAGATCAGGACATATGCCGGCTCTCCCAAGATGGACCGGGACTAGGAGAGGGCGGCCAGGCTAACCCTCCCATTAGAAGGAGTTGTTGGGGTGTAGACAACTCCACTGTTGAGCCTCAAGGAGGACCATCGGTGAGGCCGGGGAAGCGCCTTATCTAAAACTTGGCCCCTGAGGAGGCTATAGGAGCTCGTGTAAAGGTGGCTGACACACTGGTCAGGTCGACAAGACTAGCGCCCTTAGCCCCTCAAGCTGAGAGGGTGAAGAAGGCACCCCAAAAGATAAGTAGCCGGGGTCCTGGACAAGTGGTCCACGTAGTCGAGCCTGAAGCCATTCACTTGGATGAGGGGTCTTCAGCTCGGGAAGAGGAGGAAGGAGCCAACCAGGAGATCAGAGGTTGGAACCGAGGATGAGACAGAACAGGAGGGGAGCCCTGTCGTCCCAACCGAGTCAACTCGTCACCGCGGGAAAGAGCCGGTCAGAGAGGAAATATTTAATACAGAGGATTTTGGGATATCTATATCCCCATCGGGTTGACGAGGTTGGGACGGAAGCTTGGGAGAGGATGAGGATGTTGCTCATAAGGACCTCAGGTGCTGGCCCCTGATACACTAGGGACCCGTTTCCGGAGCATCGCCACCAGCCTGCCCCTCATCTCGATACGAGGGGGTCGGTCCTTGAATCTCGAATTGTCAAAACGAGACCGGTGGAGCAGTTTTGGCTGCCTCGTGACATGGAGATTCTGGGGGAAGTCCCCAGTGTCAGCATCCACCAAGCCCTTTGGAGCTACTTGGTTTGCGGGGCTTTTGTGGCACAAGACCTCTTCGGCCGAATGGAGAGAATCCAAACTGTCTATCTCAAACTCCAAGGGGAGTTGGAAGCTCGACAAGCTGACGTGAGGGGCGATCTCGAGGAAGTCCTCAGGGAGCTGTCGGCCAAAGAGGACGAACTAGGCAACTGGTGGCGAGAGATGGAGGTGCGCGAGCATATGTTCAAGGGTTTGAAGGCCTCGGATGCCCAAAAATCCTCTGAAATCGATCGGCTCAAACATGAGATCCAAGAGAGCAACAGGAGGGCGAGACATCAATTCGAGCAGGTCACGCAGGGGTTGCAGGATAAGGACAGTGCTCTGGTACAGGTTGAGGCTGAGCGCCAAACGGCCCGTCAGGCTAGTGACAAGCTTGAGGAGGAGGAACTGGCTTGGATGAGGCTCCAAGAGGAAGGTTCTCGTCGCGAGGTGTCCCTAGTGGAAGCCCAGAGCCGGATCGCCTATCTAGAGTCTAAGGCCTATCGGTCTGAGGTCGTGGAGGAGTATCGCCAAAGCCTTTTTTGGCAAAGTGGAGGTGTCGATTGCTTGCAAAGTTGGGTTTGACTACCTCAAATTGGTGTTTTTTGATAAAATCTCAAATTTAAGGGGTTTTATGATAATCGCTAAACTTAACAGCGGTTTTCTGGTAATCGTCCAAAGTTAAGCGGGGTTTTTATGATATTTAGCCAATATATAACTTTGTGAGTCCCGCCAAGTGCAAGGGAAGGCACGCAAGTGCGAGGCAGAAGAAACTGAGGTGTACAGGCGGTATATCACCTGATCGTACCGGGATCTCCCGGTCGCCCATTTTAAATTTCACCCTCTCTCCTCTCGCTGTCTCTCTCTCTCTCTCCTCCTACTTTCTCTCTCAAAAAAAAAAACATAATAATAATAATAATTCTTTGATGCAAATCACAGAATTGTAAAGGAAATTTAGGTTATTTTACTCGGTTTCGGCAATGCCGCACCGATTCTTAGCTAATTTTAGGGTTTCTCCGTTGTTTTTGAGCAGCTGACGTTTCTAGGGTTTTTTATTTTTTGGAGCATTTTGTGATATCTGGAGCCCTAGGCTTTCGATCGATGAACATAGAACAAGAATCTGAGGTCAGGCCGGTTCTTGGACCGGCCGGAAACAAGACGAGGTCGCCATCTCTCGCTCTGAAGCCAGCTTCAAAGCAATTGGAGAAGGAGGAGGAGGAGGAGGAGGAGGAGCCTTCACCGGTTCAAAATTCGAGGCCATTGGGTTCGTCCTTAGGCGCTCCTCCTTCGGCAGTGAGGAGGCAGGAGCTTCTGTTGCGTTCGAACTTGTCGTTGAATGCTTCTTGCTCTTCGGATGCATCGACGGATTCGTTCTGTAGTCGGGCTTCTACAGGAAAGTTTGCTCGGCCGAGGTCGGATCGGAGGAGGCAGAGAGTTCTGAGGCCGGAGAAGATCATTCCGGATGGCGAGGTGAAAGCTCCTCCTGAGCTTTCGCAGGGGAAGAGGAGGTGTGGTTGGGTCACACCCAACGCTGGTGAGTTCTATTTCATTTTTAGTAAATTTTAGACTTTTGGGTCAATGCCAATTTGATGTGTAGAATCATTTGCAGCTTCTTTATAAGTTGGGTTTTCAGATGGATTTTTTTGTAGTGTAAAATGATTGCTGTATGATGCTGAAAAGTGAAATCCAGTAAAAGAAATTGGATTTTCCCACATCTATTCTTATGAAAATATCAGGCGTAGAACCTAGGACGCTATACAAATTGACATGTCAGATTCAAGATTAAATATTGTTGGATTTATTGGTCAAAACCGCTTTCCAAAATAAGTTTTCAAACTAAATATTTACTAGCTACTGGTATTTTTCAGAAATCCTTAGTAGCATAGTGGAAAGTAAAAAATTTTGGTGTTTCAAAAGGTCCTCACTTCGAGGCTTGCCGTAGGTAAGGCGAGAATTGTTTTGTCTTAAATAAATTAATTAATCCCTCATAAGTATTAGTGGGCAGTGGGCCGTGGGCTCGTGGGCCATGGCGTTTTGTAAGGCGCACTTTGCATTTCGCACGGAGGCATCGGGGTTGGGTGGCACGCAGGCTACATCGCAGGCTGCTTCG